GGGGTGTGTGTTGCGGGGGGGGAGCCGGGGGCGCGGCCGCCCGCGCTCAGCACCCGGGAGAGCTCCGCCGCCGCCCCGCGCATGCCCCGGCCCCGCCGGCGCGGATATAACCGCGGAGCGGGGCGGGAGCGGCGCCAGCCGTCCGCAGCCGTCGAGCCGGAGGGAGACGCCGTCTCCCCCTCCTATTCCTCACCTTCCCCCCTCCTATTCCTCACCTTCCCCCCCTCCCCAAGCCTCGACCCTCCGGTAGCTCGCCCTCCCGCCCGCCGAAGGGGCTGCCCCGCTTCGGGGGTCTTGGGACAGGTCCCCCGCCCGCCGCTCGTCCTCCCTAGCATGGGATGGGCGAGCCCTGCGAGCGCGGTGCCTGCTCGCCAGCCGCCGGCATGAAGGAAGGAGCGGACTGGGAGCCCTGGGACTCGCCGCTGGGTTTGGCGGAGGGCGCCCAGATGGGCAACAGGAGCAACGTGTCCTTCCTGCAGCTCTTCAAGAACATCAACCTGGAGCGAGCCGACGGGATGCAGGGGGACAGCTCCGACGTGGTGCGGATTGTCATCTCGCTGGTCTACTCCGTGGTGTGTGCCCTGGGGCTGGTGGGCAACCTGCTGGTGCTCTACCTGATGAAAAGCAAGCAAGGCTGGAGAAAGTCCTCTATCAACCTCTTTGTGACCAGCCTGGCAGTGACTGACTTCCAGTTTGTGCTGACCTTGCCGTTCTGGGCAGTAGAGAACGCGCTGGACTTCAACTGGCTCTTCGGCAAGGCAATGTGTAAGATTGTCTCCTATGTGACAGCCATGAATATGTATGCCAGTGTCTTCTTTCTCACTGCTATGAGTGTGGCTCGATACCGCTCTGTTGCTTCAGCCTTGAAGAACCAGCGGCGAGGTGACCCACTGGGTGGCTGCTGCTCTGCCAAGTGGCTTTGTGCCCTCATCTGGCTGTCAGCTATCCTGGCTTCCCTGCCTCATGCCATTTTTTCCACCACTGCCACCGTCTTTGATGATGTTCTCTGCCTCGTCAAGTTCCCTGAGGGCCGAGGCAGTAATGCCCAGTTCTGGCTGGGTCTGTACCACATCCAGAAGGTGCTGCTGGGCTTTGTGGTGCCGCTGGCCATCATCAGCCTCTGCTACTTGCTCCTGGTGCGCTTCATCAGTGACAAGCACGTTGGCAGCACCTGCAGCGGCCCCAGCACCAAGCGCCGCTCCAAAGTGACTAAGTCAGTGTCCATTGTGGTGCTGTCTTTCTTCTTGTGCTGGCTGCCTAACCAAGCGCTCACAACGTGGGGCATCCTCATCAAGCTCAACGTGGTGCACTTCAGCACTGAGTACTTCTTCTCCCAAGTGTACTTCTTCCCCATCAGCGTGTGCCTGGCACACTCCAACAGCTGCCTCAACCCCATCCTCTACTGCCTCATGCGCAGGGAGTTTCGCAAGGCGCTGAAGAGCCTCCTCTGGAGGATCACCTCACCTTCCCTCACCACCACGCGCCCTTTCACTGACACCACCAAGCCCGAGCAGGAGGAGCAGGCCCTGCACGCCTTGGTGCCCGTCCACCCCGTCACTGCTTCTTCCCCTGCTGCAGCCATCCAGCCAGAGGTGGCCTACTACCCCCCTGGGGTGGTGATGTACAGCAGCCGCTATGACCTGCTGCCCGCTAGCTCCATGGAGCAGCGCTGCTGAGATGGGGCAGGGGGGCTCTGGAGCGTGGGACTGCGGGGTGTGTGCAAGATGGTGCCCTGGGACACTGAACGTCTGGTAGGGACAAGGGGACGAGGGATGGGTAAAGGAGATGTGTGTGAGAGGTGCTCTTTTGGGCTTGTGACCGCTCTTGGAAACTTGTTGATGGAAGTTCTTGTCTTGAAAATGTCACCTGGACTGGAGAAGAGGAATAGGAGGTGGCAGTGGTGATGCACTGGGGATTTGAGTGTCTCTAGGAGATGCTTTTTAGTGCTTCTACCTGATCAGGGGAAGAGGAATCTGGAGAGGGTGACAGGACTTGGGGAGGATGAAGGATGTTTGGGGCACCATAGGGAGGAGAGGGGCTGGATGGGGTGGAGGAAGGCTGGGAAGCCTCAGCTGCATCCCCCCAAAGTGGAGGTACCAGCAGCAAGGGGCCTGCATCCCTCCCTCCCCTGTATGTGTGTTTCTGGCAGGGGGAGGGAGCCAGGCTGCTTTCTCACTGCTGCATGGCATCCTACGTGGTGCTCCTGGGCTCCCGTGAGGGCACAGGGATCAGGCAGCCCATGTCCTATTTTGTACCTGTTTTGGTGGGAACAGCCAGGACAAGTGGGTACAAGGCTGCTGCTTCTTCAGGCTTGGCCCCTTTTCCCTCTCCTAGGGACCCAGGAAAGAGAGAGGAAAAGAAGCAATGTGCTCCCCTCCAGATCTCTGCAGGTTCCGCTTTTCCAGCTCCTCTCACCCCCTCTGCTGCTGCCAGGATACAGAGCAACCCAGACAGCCAAGGAGAAACCCAAGGACAGGACTTGCAGCTTGATGGAGAGGTGTTGCTTTGCCTGGGTTTGGCGGGGAGGGTGTGAGGGTACATCGTGTTCCCCAGTCCCTCTCCAAGCTGCTGGAGGGGGAAACCCACAGCCCCAAACCACGCGTGGCAAGGCAGGCATCTCCCCCAGGGAGCTGAGACTGCAGGCTTTGTTCTTGCTGGGCTTCAGACTGTTTGTATTTCACTCCAGGAAATCAGCACAACTGTAAATAAAAACGGGAAAGAGAAACAAATCATAGTCACTTCAAGCTGCTTGCTCTGGGGTACTTCAGCTAAAACCAAGCACAAAGGTTTTTGATCTGCTGAAGTGTTTGTTAAGGGTCTGCACTGATACTTGCCAACATTTCAGTTAACTCCAGTTCAATTCCTCCGGTGTAAGCAGCCTTAGGGTCCGCAGGTCAGTGCTCTTGCACCCTGGAGAAGGACAGGGACAATGCCTGTCACGGCCTGTGTCCCAGTGAAACGTCTGGGAAATAATTTGACGTTGATCTGAAATGAACTTTTAAGGGGATGAGAAAAGTGTAATTTTAAGCTGTGAAACTTTTTATGGTAAGGTTATGTATTTACTTTATAAAATATTTTTTTAAATTATGAGGAAAAAATAATTTAGAATGGAAAGGTCAAAGTATTTCTTTTAAAAGATGGAAAAATGCAACAGTTCTGGTTTGTTGCCAGTACACAAGTTTGTTAATCCCCAATAGTGCATATGGGAGGAGTATTTAAATACGATATTCAAAACCTCTCTCTATTTCCAGCCTCTTCCTGTGCAGCCTAACTCCAACATCTTCCTGACTCTGCTAAAAAAGCATTTATTCAGAGGGTTGTTTGTCACTTCTAAGTATTGATGTGGAGCAAACTTGCTGTTTCTGTCCAGAGAAAATTGCAGTGCTGTTAGTGGCAATTATGCTTTGCAGACTCTGTTTGGTTTACTGTACATGTTGGTAACTCCTGTTGTAAAATTCAGGTTTGGTCTGGAAGCAGCTACTTGAAAGAAGAAGCTGTTGTTCTGTTTTTTTCAGTGCAAAAAGACTTCTACTGCAGCCTTGGGTGCTTGCTAACTGATAAGATACAGGTGCCTGGAGAAGAATAGCAGAAGTGAGCTGGCAGCTGATGGACATACTATTACAGATGCAAAGACTCTGAAGAAATCAGATATATTCACAGAATAACTTGAGCATCTAAGTACTGTACAACGGTCCCTCTAAGTTCCTAAATCCTGACTTGGCTGCCAGCTGCAGGCTGTAGGTACTTAAAGGATTTTTCCAAGTAATTAAATTTTTTTTTTGTGCCTAGAAGTCTGCTTCTGAGCATGCCTAAATCTGCTTAAGTCTGTAGCATTTACCTCTGTACTTAATGGGGATATCTCAGTCAGGACTGGCCGCAGCGTGTACCCAAAGCCAGGGAGGCAGCTCTGCATCCGAACAAGGAACGCCCCGTGCCAGGCCACACTGTTACGAGGGGCTGTAAACTTCACCCATTCCCCCATCCCTTTGCATCCGTGTCTAGGTATGCTTCTCCTGTCCCACACCCAAGGCATGTGCAGATTGTGCTCTTTCCTCTTGCCTTTTGAAACCCTAAGTAAGTGGGCAGAGCTTTTGCCCACAGCCTAGGAAACTCCGCAAATGTGCTCAAATCCTCTGACTTGAAACTGTTCCCTCTTGCATGAGTTGTTCATCGTTGCTGGATCACAAAGGGAAAGCAAGTCCTTTAACACTGCTTTGCAGCATGGTGGTTAGGGTGGGAGTCCCAAAGATGAAAAGCCAAGATTTTTCTTCCTTGTAAATACAGAAGAGAAATTGGATTCAGGTCTGTATTCTGGGTCTCCCCTTTCCAAGAACAATGATTAACTTGCTCCCAGGTCCTGGCTCACTTAAAGTTTCAGTAGGCTGTACAAAAGCCTGACGGCTTTCTAGACCTAGAAATCCAGCAGCCTAATGTGTCAAAGGATTTGTAAGAAATGCATTTGGGTCTCACATGGTCTGGGAGAAAGCCCTATTGCCTGTGCTAGCAGATGAAGAAAGCCAGACTGTTGTGTGAGAAAAGGATACCATCAACACGTAATTTCAGAGTTCAGAGAGATTTAACCATGTCTGTAGAGGCCAGAAGAAAGTACCTAAATTAAGAAGAGGGGATGAATCTCAAAGCCAGTCTCTGTTCTTAGTGTTTGCTTTTGAACAGCATAGTTTCTCGCTTGGCTTGCTGGAATTTTAATCCTTACCGTGATGCTTAAATGTTCTTGTGCATTGCATAAAAAACTGTCCAGATGTCTAAAGCATAATTATGAATTTCAGCAGATAGCAAATTGCCTAAAAGACGTCCTCTGGGGTGCTCAGCATGACAAAACCCATGTGCTTTTTGTGGATGTCAATATAGACATAATTTTATGCCAGCAAAACAACACAGTAAAACAGATGTTGTTCTGAACAACCCATAGTTAGCCCAGCATACTAGCAAGATACCATGTTCAGAGGAAGCCCTGGGCATCCGATCACTGAAGACATAAAAACCCTACATTTGGCAAATCATCCAAATAGGAAAATACCTTGGATGTGTAGGGAATGGACAAAGGACTTAGAGGGCAGCTCTCTTTTAAGCCACTGGTCCACCAGATGTAGGTCATGGATCTGCAGTTCAAAAGAGGGACAATTGGCCAAACATTGCTTTAGGCAGTTCAGGCTGTGCGGGTCAGTTGTGTATCACAGAATCATAGAATGGTTTGGTTTGGAAGGGACCTTAAAGATCATTGAGTTCCAGCCCCCTTGCCATGGTCCAGTTTACCCAAAGAGCTGTGTGTGAGCAGAGAGAGATTTTGCTTCACGTGTGCTGGGCTTCCCACCTATCAGTGCGTGAAATGTGGGCTCCACGTTGCGTGGGCAGGAGCACCAGCCTGAGCATTCAGACCGGCAGTTCAGGCTGTGCGGGTCAGTTGTGTATCACAGAATCATAGAATGGTTTGGTTTGGAAGGGACCTTAAAGATCATTGAGTTCCAGCCCCCTTGCCATGGTCCAGTTTACCCAAAGAGCTGTGTGTGAGCAGAGAGAGATTTTGCTTCACGTGTGCTGGGCTTCCCACCTATCAGTGCGTGAAATGTGGGCTCCACGTTGCGTGGGCAGGAGCACCAGCCTGAGCATTGCCAGGAAGGAGCAGTCGTTCTGAGCATGCACACAGCATCAGGCCTGTGGCCTCAGCAGAGGGTCTTTCCAGCTCTACTTTTGAGACTACCTGTTATCAACAACAAATACTGGGTACTTGGGGGTTTCCTAAGTAATCAGCACAACACTCTGCAAAAACACTAGTGTTTCCTCCAAATGTTCATGTCTTCATTTGTAACAATCGCCTTTTCATGATCTAAAATAAACCCAGCTGATGGATACAAAACAATACTTAAGGTGTTCTTTGTGAGATTTTTGTGACCGGTCTTCTTCTATTGCAGGTTCTTGGAGGGGTGCTGGTACAGAGGGACATGTTGCTACAGAATGATAAGGACCTGAAGGTGCAGGCTGACATCTAGTGACAAACTGAAGGAACCTTTAAAGCCCAGATATTCACATTAGGCACTGACTTTGATTGCCCAAGGACTTTTAAATATCACCCCCCTCAAATAACTAACCAAGCTCTTAATGTAATAACAACCTCAAATTGCATTTCCAGGTTTGCCTTTGAAAAGCTTTTTCAGTAGAAATATTGCTTTACTTTCTCTTTGAGTTATTTTGGCACTCACTTTAGCAATAAAAAAAATCCAGTCCCCTTCATTCCTGTTCATGATTGTCTGCACTAAAACTTGATTATTCAATTGGCTGCCTGTGCAGAAGCCCTGATCTAATCGGTATCCCTGAGCCTGGGCAGGCATAGGCATGGACGTGGTGCAGCACAAGGACCTTAGATTGGGAGCCTGGATTGCCAATTTTTTAGTGAGGGTTATTTCTCTCCTGCTTCGAAAGAGAATTCTGATTAATCTGTTTAGAAAGGGTTATTGAAAGTATCTTTTCATCATCATTAAGCAGTTATAAGAATCTTCCTCAGGTACATTCTCAGCATCAGTCAGTGCAGCAGAGGTTGAGACAAAGCCCGCAAGAAAAGGCTGGGCAGAAGTTAACTTGTTCCTTTGCTAAAGTGCAGCTGGCAAGTTGCCTTAGATGTGTTCCCTAATTGCAGAGAGTTGTTTTACTTAGAACTGGCTCTTTCAAATCCTACATATATGTGCAGGTTGTGCAGCCTGTAGTACATAACCTCAGAGTCCTTCCCAAGATCTTAGTGGTAAAATATATTCACAGGATGCCTGAGCAAATTGGGCCAAAAAACCACCATGAGACAAAAGCAATTTATTTAATCGTGCAAGTTCTTTGAAAGCTTCACCTACCTGCTTGGGGAGTGCTAACAGAAAATTAAGGTTAGCAGAAAGTTAAGACTGCAAATTATTCAGTTAAGGAAATAACAAAATAAAGGTAGCTCACTTTTTCCCCTCACTCATCCCTTCCTTGGGACAATGAGATATTGTTTCTCCAAGGACCTGTGTTGTTCCTTGCACAGACCAACTGAATGAGTACACGCATTACAAAATGGTCAAATTAACTATTCAACATTGACCTCTAGCATCATAGTTCAGTGAACATTTCCACTTTTGTTCAGAAGTCACATCTAACTTTATGTTGGATAAAACTGGAATCTTGCCTAAAGATTACTTCTTTCTCTCTGTAGTTGTGAACAAGTCTCTGATCAGCTTAGGCAATACCTTCAATTTTCTTTTCAGGCCAAATCCTAAACCAGAGATAATAAAGTTACCAGTAATTTGTAGCTACCAACTCTTAGCCAGAGTTAAGACAACAGGGAAAACACATCTGACCAAGATGGTAACCTTCTATGATGAGAAGACTGGCTTGGTAGGTGAGGAGAGAGCAGTGGATATTGTTTATCTTGATTTAAATAAGGTTTTGATGCTCTCTCCTGTGACATCCCCATAGACAAACCAAAAAAAGAGCGGACTAGACAAGTGGAAAGTGAGCTGGACTAAAACTGGCTAAACTGCCAGGCTTAAAAGGTTTCTGTGTTTCTGTGGCAAGGTGAGCATAAGCCAGGAGTGTGCCCTTCCCGCAAAGGCAGCCTACAGCATCCTGGGCTTCATTAGGCAGAGAGCGGCTCACAGATCAAGGGAGATGATCCTTCCACTCTGCTCAGCCTGGTGAAGCCACCTTTGGGATACTGCGTCCAGTTCTGTGCTGCCCAGTACAAGAGAGAGATGAACTTACTGGAGAGGATCCAGTATGATGGAGGGCTTGGAGCATCTGCCACATGAGGAGATAGAGCTGGGGTGGTGCAGCCTGGAGGTCAGAAGGCTCAGGGGGATCTTATCAATGTGTGTAAATACCCGATGGGTGTGGGGGTTAAAGAAGGTGGAACCAGACTCTTCTCAGTGTTGTCCAGGGAACGGACAAGAAGCAATAGGCACAAAGTGAAATTCAATACATTTCATTTAAACATAGGAAAACCCCACATTTTTATGGTAATTGTGGTCAAGCACTGGAACAGGATGCTCAGAGAAGTTGTGGGGTCTCTTATCTTTAGAAATGCTCAGAATCTGACTTAAAACAGCCTGACCCGCCTGCTTTAGGAACTCTCTGCTGAGCAGAGGGCTTAGACTAGGTCAGCTCCAGAGGCAACCCCAACTATTCTGTGCTTCAGTATATTGTGTGATGTGATGGCAAATAAATTGCTATAATTATGTCTTTGTTCCAGTACAGTAGAATTAGCACATGTCTGTCTGTCTTGACATCTATTTTGAAAAACCTCTGAAAATGTTGTGCCTTCAAATCATCTCCTACTGTGTATTTCAAATCATCTATTATAAGTTTATGGTCATAAACAGATTTCAAATATGGTTTTACTGCTTGTTTTTGCCAAAACAGCTGAGGGGGCTCAGAGAAAATACACTCTTCTTCTTGCCCATCAAAAGACATTTTCTGCTGAACTCTAATCCCTTCTTCATAGGCAAATCCAGTGATGTCTGCAAAGGCAAAGAGCTGCCCATGAGCTCCTGAACTGACGGTAACAGGGATCCTACAGTACTGTATTAAATAACTGCTGAGCCTGTATGGCTTATTATAAATAGTGAAAAGAAGAATCTAGTTTGCATTTCAGATTTGAGATTACATTTTCAGAGATGTAGACTGAAATCTTGAATTTTGAGCCCACTTGATATAACGTCATTCAAAGTAGAATATTCCAAAATCGAAATTCCTGTTCAGAATAGAACAACACTCTTCGATAAGGTGCCATCTCTTTCTCAGAGATAACCGTAGTCCTAAAATGTGTTAAATTGCCATGTTTTGCAATATAATGGTAATCTAACAATGTTTGGGATATATTTCTTAAAGGTCTACTCAACAGGATTAGGTGTTATGTTGGAATTTAGCACTTATTAATCAACTGCTTCAGCCCTCAAAATCCTTGGAATCCGATAGCTTGCAATTGTATTGCAAGATGGCATTTATTTTATTAAAAAAAAAAAATATCAGATCTGAATGTTGAAAAGCAAAACAAATCACTTGAAGTACATCTGCACTTACATGGTGATCTGCCAGCCATGCAAGTCCAGGCTGGTGCTCCCAGTCTTTAACAGAAGGCATCTCTGCCAGGATCTTTTTCTTTCCTTCATGTCATTCCTTGACCTCCACAGTTCTGCTATTCTTCCCTCTCCTTCTCAGCACCAAATGAGCAGAGGGGCCCTGAATACAGAGGTGTCAAAGATCCTGATGCTGCCTCTTGTCCTCTCCATGTCACTACAACCACTGTCGCTGCCTCCCAATGCACCTTTCCTGTTGGGAACCAACGTAACAAAAATTAATCTGCCGAACAAACCGGAGACAGCTGCACTACAGGACTGACTCTCAGCGTTAGCACTGAAGGCCAGATTCTACCATCAGTTTGATGCTAAGCATGTCATAGAATCATAGAATCATAGAATCATAGAATGGTTTGGGTTGGAAGGGACCTCAAAGATCATCAAGTTCCAACCCCCCTGCCATGGGCAGGGACACCTCCCACCAGACCAGGTTGCTCAAAGCCCCATCCAGGGATGGGGCATCCACAACTTCCCTGGGCAACCTCTTCCAGTGTCTCACCACCCTCATAGTAAAAAATTTCTTCCTGAGATCTAATCTGAATCCTTTTTTCTTCCAAGTTAAAACCATTTCCCCTTGTCCTATCATTGAGCTTCTACCACCACAGGTCCACATGGCAGTGTCTCCATCAGCATTACATATCTGGGTTACAGCTGGTAACAAGCAACTTTCCTTTGTTGTCTACGCTCAAAAAAAAAAAAAAGTGAACTGAGTGGCAGCAGTGCATCGCTACAAGGAAACTTCAGAGTAAGACGAAGGGGAGAGGGACAGGAGCAAGGTTAGAAAGCAACGCAAGGAAAGGCAGCTCCTAGCCCTGGAGAAGTGCTATAATGTCATTGGACACCGGGGGGCAACGAAACACCCAGCCTGCGGGGAAGAAAATACTCCATCCTCCCAACGACAGCAGCCCCCTTCCCTCTCCTCCTTGGAGCAGACACAGCCTTTGACAAACATCCTTTCAAAAAGCAGCCCATTTTTCAGAAAAGGTCACAGATGTCTCTCCTCGAAAATAAAAGGCAGGATCTGCTTATCTGAGTCTCCTGTGCAATCCAGAGTGGAGAGCACTGAATTCTGTTTTCCCACTCCTGTGAGTACTTTCCTGGAGGCAATATTGACTAGCTCTTACAAGGCAATATGCTCTGGTTTGATGTCTCTGCATGATGTGAAATCATTATCAGGTAAAGTGAAGTCATACAAAGGTAAACTATTAATACACGGGAAGGTTAAAAGTTCATTTCCAAGAAAAACCTTGCAAAAATAGAAGTGATTAACACACCTTGCATACCTAAAGGAGCAATGTATGAAACTGAGTACACTGTAGAAGGCATCAGAATTACAAATCGCTTTTCACAGTTTAGTCTTGGACAAATGGTCCTGAACATTTGCTGCTTAAATAAACAAAGAAGGAGCAGCTCAGGAATGAGAAATATATGCTGGAAACTAGAGGGAAAAGTTTTGGTTTATAGATCATTTTTTATAGCTGTATCATGCCAAAAATCATTTAAAGACATTTTGCAGCAGACACGTCCACCCTTTTCCTCCATGAAGCCATCCCTCTACTGTTCAGAAATATCAAATGTCACTGTTGCCACATCTCCTATTTACACCATTCTCCCTTCCTTTTGACATGCTGCAGGGACTGGTGCCAATTCATGGGCACCAATGCTAAAGCTGTGAGTTCTGCCAAGGCAAAGATATTTCTGATTCATCCTGACGTGTAGTTTATCTGGAAGAAAAGTGTCTTCTACAGACCACCTGAGTTGCTTGTTTTCAAAGAAATCAAAGAAACTTAATGATATCACTGTGAAAGATAGAATGAACATTGGAGAAAAAACAAACACACAAACAAAACCAAAAAAAACCAATTAATTCTGATGTTACTAATAACTGCAAGTTCTCTAAACAAGAGAACCAAAACTTCCATGGAGCATTTGCCTGCATGACATGGCTGCTTGTTCAATGGGAATAAATGGCAGGCATTTGTAAGAGAAAGAAAAAGGCAACTTCCATGAAGATCAGGTGGCAGATTTGTATCCTGCCTCATTTCATTCAGCCATGACCATTTCTGTTAGAGTGGGAGGGAGAAAGGGTTGTTGATCTCAAGACCTCTCATCTTCATCTAAATGTGTCATCTGAGTAAACATGATATAGAGAAGATCTTTATTTGTTTGATTTCATGTATATGAAAATAAAACCAGATGAGAAAGATCAGACACAGGGTACTTCTAAATTTGAAACTCACATCATTGCAATAAAAGCTGATATTAAGCACAATAACCGATCATATTGATAACTCAAGTCCTGAACTAATGTAAAAGGACAGAAAGGGTGGAACTTAAGTTAGTAGCACCACAGTACAGTTCTCCTATGCCTTTAACATTTTTAACATTTTAGCATTTCTATTGCTGAAAGAAATACTTATTTTATCCCTTCTCATGAATTAGTAACCTTTTAGATTGTTTTCAGTAGGACCTGAAATACATTTTTTACTTCAGAATGAGCACCACCATAATTTTTCTGGTTTAAACACTGTTTTTTTGCTTGCTTGCTTGCTATTTTTGATGAAGACTCATGGAGAAAAATACTATTTTGCAGTCTTAGAAACAATCATAGGATGTTTTAATGGAGAGATTTCCAAAGAAAAAATGGCTCTATTTTGTTCTGTGTTCTGTAGCATGCAGTGAATTTTAAAAGGAAAGATCACGAGAAAGATGATAATGTGAGTTCCTGAACCAGTTTCCTCTGAATAGCTTTGTAAATAAAAGGATTGATATAAACAATGGTCACATCTCTCTTCTTTCTGCGGGTTCACAATTCTTCTTGTGTTGTTACAGTTCCACAGTTACACTGTGGGCTGAATCAATGCCTGCTTTCTCCTTGTGTAACAGAGCACAGATAGCACTGATCATTCAAATTTTAATGTTCTGATGGCGTTAAACCTCAAAGAAAATATTGGTAAAGACACAGGTAAACATTGTAAAGTTCCATCCCCAGCCTCACACTGGAGTTGGAGCTTTATGACCTCGGCTCCTGGAGCACAGGTTTAAACAGTGCTTCAAGTCCTGCAGTCCTGTAAAACCAGATCACCTCCTCCTTTCTCCATTTTTATGGCTCCACAGAAGCCTTGCTCGTCCCTTAAAAAACCTCCTCCCAGGAGATAGGGAGTTAATGGAAGTTAGTGAGTTAACAATGGCATAAAGTGAATTAAAAGGACAACCGTCTATCATTTTCTGGCCTTCTCCTGTTTCTCCTGGTTGAGATCCTTGTGCTACAGCCATGTGAGCACCTACAAAGTGTTTAAAGCACAGTCCAGGGGCTCAGTCTTCCAAGCTTTTCTCTTCCATGGATGTGACTTGAGCAGGATTCATTAAGAGCCACAAAATGGAAGAAACCATAAAACATGGCTTCTTCTTAAGCCAGGATGAAGGAGCTGTGAGGAAAAGTAAAGCTTGCCATACACCAAGTCCCATTTGGGGCCTACAGTCGAGACACAATCACCCACAAGAAAAAATAGCTGAGGCTTCAACAGGATTGCTGTAGTTAATAAGAGTTTACCTAAGGGAAAATTGTTTTTCCTGAAAACAAATTACTCACTCTACGCTTGAAAACATACAGAAAGGATGAAGTTGGTGCATTTCTGCAGAGACACTTTATGCTCAAATCTAACCATTTATTTGTGGTGTTGTCAGTCCATATCACGCAGAGCTTCTAGAGCTGAACAGTGCATTTGGCTGAACAGTGTCGATTATACATGTGCAACATTTAACAAAACCCCCACACACCATACCTGGCAACACTCTCTCTCTGTCACCATTAATTAACAATATTGCATTAGCTGATGGCTTCATGTGGCTTAGCATATAACATAGCAAAGGGATATAACAGTTTTCAGAACAGAGGAAGCACAGCATAAATACAGCGTATCACTTCCACAAACATAGGCTTTTCAAAACTCCAGCAATATTATAAACATAAGAATCAAGCTTCATATGCAATTAAATACAAATAACTGGAATTAAGTATTTACTGTACAATAATTCCTGATAGTGCTTTGCAGAACTGTGTTATTTCACAGTATTCTGTAAAGACCAAACCCCATTTCACTCAAAACTAGATGCATGAAGGAAAATAGAGGAAACAGTGATACTGCTTTAAGGTAAATACTGCCATATCCAGTGTCAAGATTTCAGTGGCTTACAACCACTCATAAAATTCTTGTTTTCGTCAAGTTTGTTTTTTCAATTACAGTACCAGAGTCAAGAGGCCAGTTTTTTAAGATGGAAGAAGTGCCACCTGTTTGCAGGTTTGCAGAGCAGCCTTAGGCAGAGTTTCATGACAAGCACAGTCAGTACTTTCATTTAATGTATAGATAAGCAGCAGGGTCCAATATAAAATAATTACTTTGCAGTTATGCTTTTAAACAATAGGTTTTGATCTTTTTTATATTCCAATCATCTTTCATACCCAAATCTGCTTTTGATTGTAGCTGGGAATTAACTGATCCCACTTAACAGTACTACTGGACACGACACAATTTCACACTATATGGCCTCTGACACCTGTTTGATCCTCTCGCAGCTTTTGACTACCAGAGGGAATATCCCCAAGATTAAGATACTTGAAAAACAAGATAAATAATTATTTTCTTCCTAACTGAGTCCATTTTTATTACTTCTTCAATTGATCACATACTTCATCTATTAACTTCCACAAATTGGTAATGAGGAGTTTCATAACGACTTCTCACGTAGGGCATCGAGATACCACGGGTGTACACACCACCCTGTGTAATAGCGTGTTAATATACTGAGTTCAGCAGGAATGAAGTAATAAAGCAGTCAAAATACAGAAGCTTTCAATCTGAGGCATTAGGCAACCAGTTTTATCAAGTCTCACATTTCATAACGCTCTGGAGTTGCAGCCTCTCCGAGGATGTAAGAGAAGAGGATGTGCCAGCAGTACCAGCACAGCAACAGCACCAGTGCTACTAATCTGAAAAGAAAACACTCCCTTGGGGAGATTTCCTCCAATTGCTTCGCCCAGTCCTACTCCACGTATCGGACACAAAAAGCAACAAAGCAGCAGCCGACGAGTGCCACCATGGACGCCGAAATCACAGTCACCGCACTGCCGGCGATGCTGACCAGGAGCCCCAGCCCCACGCCCAGGATGATCTGGGCCAGCTGGACCATGCAGGTGAGAGCAGCACAGTCAATGCCCTTCCCTCTCCCGTGGTCTCCAGCTCGTTCGCTGTCCTGCAGCCTCAGGCACTGCAAACAAGCACAAAACCAAACCCGGTGAAATCAGGCGGCGCCGACGACTTGCAGCTCTCAGACACCGCGCCGTCGCGACCCCCAGGTGCAGCAAGACATGGCAATCACTCTCTGCGTCCCTTCTGGTTTTTCTGCTTGCCCCACAGAGATTTTACAAGCCCAAATGAGTTTTCCAAGCTCCCCCCAAATTGTCCCGTTTCTCCCATCTGCAATTTTTCCCTCCATCCCTTCTCTCAAAGAAAGAATTGAAATTTGATCAAAAGAATTATTAGCCATTTCCTTCAAGTTCAGATCCATTTGAGCTCTGGCAAACTGACACTTCACAGTACAGGACACCCCGCCACAGGTAATTTAGCTCCAACTCTCATGGTTGCAGGAGAGCCTCAAAGGATGCTAAGATGAGTCATACTGTGTCCCACACACCTACAGAGCATAACTCGTTATAATGGAGCACTGTGCTCTGAAGTTATGGCTCGAAGCACATCAAGGAGTTCAGTACCAAAATCTAAATGTAATGCTTTTATTGCTGGGGGGGAAAAAATAATATCTGAAAACAAATGCCCAGATGAGGATGCTTCTACACCACTGAAGACCATTATTAACTACTGATTATCTGTGTATCTGCTTTGACATACATAGCAGAGCAAAAGGCTACATTTATTACATACAATTACATCATGAGCAGCCTGTGAGGGCAGTTAATCACTGGAACAGGTTGACCAGTGGAGTTGTGGAGTTTCCACCTTTGGAAATATTCAAACCAGGCCAGACGTGACCCTAGGCAACCTGCTCCAGGTGGCCCTGCTTGAGCATGTGGGTTGGACTACATGATCTCTGGAGGTCCTCTCTAACTTCAGGTGTTCTCTGATTCCCTCTAGGAAGGAATTATTCTGTTTTATTGGGAAATTACATGATATTTTACATACTTACTGTTCTTCTTGCATAGACTGTTAAAGGGAGACGGTTGTATTGTAACAAATGAGGTTTCCATGCTGTAGGCTTGCTGTGCTGCTTTCTTCTGGTATCCAAACACTCTCAGCTCTTAAGATGCTTTTTTGTTTTTCAGAAGACCTGTTACCTTGCCCTTGAGCTGTTACCACACAAAGCTCTAAAGTACTGGAGAAAAACAGCCTCTTCCTAACACAGTAGACAAAATTGAATTTGCACCTTAGGGAAGAGCAGCACAGAACAGAAGTTGAAATGGCACCATTTCAAAGCCCAGCACATGGTTTTGGTAGAATGCATAGTGAGGGAAAATGTCTGCTCTTTGTTCTGGAGTGATATAGTCCTTTAACCTGAAGTATTTGAATTTTAGACACAATGTTTTTTGGAATTATATCTATATAATGTATTCCTATGTGCCAGTAGTTCTGACCACAATTACATGAATGTGTAAATGAATGTAATCTTGCACTTGATGTTTCACAGAATCACAGAATGGTAGGGGTTGGAAGGCACCTTCAGAGATCATCTTGTCCAACCCCCTGCCAAAGCAGGGTCACCCAGAGCAGGTTGGACAGGAACAAATTCAGGCAGGTTTCTCCTTCTCTCCAGAGAAGGACATTCCACAACCTCTCTGGCCAGCCTCTTCCAGTGCTCTGGCACCCTCAAGGTAAAGAAGTTTTTGCTCACGTTGAGATGGAATTTCCTGTGTTCCAGCTCGTGTCTGTTGCCCCTTGTCCCATCACTGGTAACACTGAGAAGAGCCTGACCCCATCCTCTTGATACCCGCCCTTCAGTTATTTACAAGTATTGATGAGATCCCCTCTCAGTCTTCTCTTCTCCAGGCTAAACAGACCCAGGTCTCTCAGCCTCTCCTCATAAGAGAGGTGCTCCAGTCCCTTGATCATCTTCATAGCCCCCCGATGGACTCTCTCCAGTGGTTCCCTGTCTTTCTTGAACTGGGGATCCCAGAACTGACCACATTACTCCAGATGTGGCATCACCAGGGCAGAGTAGAGAGAGAGAGAACAGAGGGGGAAGATGACTTCTCTGGACCTGCTGGCTATACTGTTTTTCATGTAACCCAGGAGATCTTTGGCCTTCTTGGCTATAAGGGCACATTGCTGGCTTGTGGTTAACTTGTCTACCGGAACTCCCAGGTCCCTCTCTGCAGAGCTGCTATCCAGCAGGTCAACCTCCAACCTGTACTGGTGCAGATTTTCCTCTATTTTTTCTACCTCATACATTATAGAAGATTTGAGCTACACATAATTCTGTTAGTATCAGATCTAACATAGAATTATATATCATTTAACATCTGGCCTAGCAAGTACTGTACACCAAGCAAGAAACAATCAGTTGTCTTAAAAGTAACATTTGAATATATTAGCCTATTAAATATAAAGTGCGTGCACACTTCAGCACATTTTATTTCACTCCTGTCTTGGAAGAGTTCTGAATCAGAGCTAGACTTCAATTTTGCCTTCACTCCCTCTCTCTGAATTGGCTGACCTGAATTGTGATCTCACCCTAAACTGGGTTCATTCCCCAGCCTTTGTTGAATCTTTGTAAAACTCTCCACTGTGACACTTCTCTATTGGAAGGAACAGAGAAATTAACTGAAAAATTAGGAATCAGATCTATGAAATATCTGACCACATTGAGACATACTCCTAGGATTCTTAGAGTTTTCTTGTATTCATCATTCAGATATTGATGCTTAAAAGTTGTACAGAACAGTAGGACATGTTCTCAAGGACTTTATCTAGCCCTGTGCTGGTCTCTTCTATATTTCTAAGTTGTTTTTCAATGGTTCAACATTTCCTTTATTCGTTTCTTCAAATGTTCCCAGGTATAATAAGAATTTTTCCTAAGTCCTCCCAACTCTCCTTAATCCTTCTTGTTTCCAGCTCTCTCATAACTTAAGAGATTTGAGAGAACTTTTCCATTGAAGAGCTCAACACTTTACAAGACATGAAGATCCTCCTGTGCCTAGTAACATGAAATAAGGAATGCAACCTTTTCCAGATTTTCCTTGGAAACAGAATTTCATGCTGTGGAGGACCAAAAACCAGCCCCAGACACTTACAGAGATAATGAGAACATGGTATATAATTTAATACTGACCTATATGAAACCATTTGTAGTTGAATTTAACATCGTTATTAGCTCACAGGTTTTGTAGCACTTTGCAGTTAACTAAAAATTCTGCCAGCCTTTACCCTGTGCTTATTAACTTTAGGAACTCAGAATTCAAGTCTTCAGCTAATACAGCTGGAAGGAAGACCATAAGCAAGGTTGCACTTGAAGGCAACACAGAGTGGAATCCTGTTAACCTGTTTACTGCCTGAACACATACTTCAATTGGCTTTGTTTCAGTTGTGATGATAAAAAATTATGTGTCTCACTGCAGGACTGTTTGGAGAATTTGGAGCTGGGACCTTAACTCTCTTTGTGAGAAACTTTCCATTCGTAACATGTCATTACAAATAGTTTGAAATTAAAATTAAAAGCTGCTCAATAGTTCCATCCAGTTTTCTCCCAAAATAGACTAAACATACCCAGACAGATATAAACTTAGCCTTCCTTAGACACTGAACTTACCTCTTCTTCCCTGTGATACTCGGCAATGAGGTGGAATGGCACTGTGTACAGTGTGCTGGACATGACGCCAAAGAGGGAACATAGAGCCAGAGTGGAATAGATATTGGGAAACAAGCCAATTAATCCAGTACCCAATCCAAATAGCAGGTATCCAATGAAATAAAGTCCCTTTAATCCTATGTATGGCAGAAGGATTTTCTGCAGGTCTGTGAAAAGAAAGTGAAAATGCTAACAAGACTAAAACAAAACAGGTCACATTTCATCAGGGAGTTCCTTTAAGGGGTTTTATTTTGTGAAATGCAATGAAGTAGACAATATTACAAGCTTCTTTTGGAAGCTGCCTCAAATTATTGTAGGTATAAACCTGCCAAAGAATACTTGAACCACATTACTCCAGATGTGGCATCACCAGGGCAGAGTAGAGAGAGAGAGAACAGAGGGGGAAGATGACTTCTCTGGACCTGCTGGCTATACTGTTTTTCATGTAACCCAGGAGATCTTTGGCCTTCTTGGCTATAAGGGCACATTGCTGGCTTGTGGTTAACTTGTCTACCGGAACTCCCAGGTCCCTCTCTGCAGAGCTGCTATCCAGCAGGTCAACCTCCAACCTGTACTGGTGCAGATTTTCCTCTATTTTTTCTACCTCATACATTATAGAAGATTTGAGCTACACATAATTCTGTTAGTATCAGATCTAACATAGAATTATATATCATTTAACATCTGGCCTAGCAAGTACTGTACACCAAGCAAGAAACAATCAGTTGTCTTAAAAGTAACATTTGAATATATTAGCCTATTAAATATAAAGTGCGTGCACACTTCAGCACATTTTATTTCACTCCTGTCTTGGAAGAGTTCTGAATCAGAGCTAGACTTCAATTTTGCCTTCACTCCCTCTCTCTGAATTGGCTGACCTGAATTGTGATCTCACCCTAAACTGGGTTCATTCCCCAGCCTTTGTTGAATCTTTGTAAAACTCTCCACTGTGACACTTCTCTATTGGAAGGAACAGAGAAATTAACTGAAAAATTAGGAATCAGATCTATGAAATATCTGACCACATTGAGACATACTCCTAGGATTCTTAGAGTTTTCTTGTATTCATCATTCAGATATTGATGCTTAAAAGTTGTACAGAACAGTAGGACATGTTCTCAAGGACTTTATCTAGCCCTGTGCTGGTCTCTTCTATATTTCTAAGTTGTTTTTCAATGGTTCAACATTTCCTTTATTCGTTTCTTCAAATGTTCCCAGGTATAATAAGAATTTTTCCTAAGTCCTCCCAACTCTCCTTAATCCTTCTTGTTTCCAGCTCTCTCATAACTTAAGAGATTTGAGAGAACTTTTCCATTGAAGAGCTCAACACTTTACAAGACATGAAGATCCTCCTGTGCCTAGTAACATGAAATAAGGAATGCAACCTTTTCCAGATTTTCCTTGGAAACAGAATTTCATGCTGTGGAGGACCAAAAACCAGCCCCAGACACTTACAGAGATAATGAGAACATGGTATATAATTTAATACTGACCTATATGAAACCATTTGTAGTTGAATTTAACATCGTTATTAGCTCACAGGTTTTGTAGCACTTTGCAGTTAACTAAAAATTCTGCCAGCCTTTACCCTGTGCTTATTAACTTTAGGAACTCAGAATTCAAGTCTTCAGCTAATACAGCTGGAAGGAAGACCATAAGCAAGGTTGCACTTGAAGGCAACACAGAGTGGAATCCTGTTAACCTGTTTACTGCCTGAACACATACTTCAATTGGCTTTGTTTCAGTTGTGATGATAAAAAATTATGTGTCTCACTGCAGGACTGTTTGGAGAATTTGGAGCTGGGACCTTAACTCTCTTTGTGAGAAACTTTCCATTCGTAACATGTCATTACAAATAGTTTGAAATTAAAATTAAAAGCTGCTCAATAGTTCCATCCAGTTTTCTCCCAAAATAGACTAAACATACCCAGACAGATATAAACTTAGCCTTCCTTAGACACTGAACTTACCTCTTCTTCCCTGTGATACTCGGCAATGAGGTGGAATGGCACTGTGTACAGTGTGCTGGACATGACGCCAAAGAGGGAACATAGAGCCAGAGTGGAATAGATATTGGGAAACAAGCCAATTAATCCAGTACCCAATCCAAATAGCAGGTATCCAATGAAATAAAGTCCCTTTAATCCTATGTATGGCAGAAGGATTTTCTGCAGGTCTGTGAAAAGAAAGTGAAAATGCTAACAAGACTAAAACAAAACAGGTCACATTTCATCAGGGAGTTCCTTTAAGGGGTTTTATTTTGTGAAATGCAATGAAGTAGACAATATTACAAGCTTCTTTTGGAAGCTGCCTCAAATTATTGTAGGTATAAACCTGCCAAAGAATACTTGATCTCTCTGGGGATAGCCTTATTCTGACATAGTTCCAGAGAAGTAGTTAACAACCATTCTGGAAGAACTGCCCTCATTGACAACCTCAGACATTTCCACTGTTTGATTATAATACCAACATTTGGCATCAACCTCTGTCTGAGCCGAGAAAGGCGCTACAGAAATGCCTGTAGCTAAGTTCCAAAGGGGAAAAGATTTCCCTCATGCCTCTTTCAGATGCTCAGTTCAGCCCTCAAAATGCTACTCATTTGAGTTTTCAGATCACAAGTAATTTTTTTGATTCTTGGTAAGAGCTATAGTGAAATCTGTCAGGGGAACTGTGCTTAGCATATTTAGATGCGATTTTGGAGAGCAAGGTTCATGCCGCTGGCAAGAGCTTCTCGAGCACTGTGGAAAAGTTCTTTTATGAGGAAATCAGATGCGGAGAGGCCATCAGAGGGATCTTTGAAAACCTACAGCTACAACATTGCTAGATGAAAGAGCATCTCAGAATGATACCCATGGCATCCATTTCAGTCTGGCATTTAACTTCAGGATGATTTTCAGTATTCAGGGTCAGTTCACATGCAGAACAATGCCTTACTCCCAAAGTGACCACTCATCATGAGGTCAGGAACTGTTCACGTTAAGATATGAGTTTCTAACAATGCTGAGAATGTAACATTTCTTAAAGTTTTAATGTGGAAAAAAAACCCCAGTTAATTTGGCATTGCTTTATTTTTTTTTAAACAATGGCAAATAGCAAACAGTTTAAACACTGTTTCAAAACACAGTGTGGGAGTACTTTCCGGGGTACTTACAAGAATAGACTGATGAAGAAATTGCGTTGATGCACAGTCCCCAGCATCCCATCTCTACTCCTGTTTTGTAGGTAAGGTAAAGCGTGGAGTTATGAGGTGCATAAGGACTACCCTGGTATACAACCTGAAAGAGACCAGAAAGACCATGGAAGGCAAGGATGGACTGCATGTATACAATACTCCTACTTATGGGAACAAGGGGGGTACCCAACACAGCGCAGGTAGGGGTGATAATAGCACCCCAGAATTCTGTTAAGCAGTGCCCTACCTACCCCGTCACAGTTCTCCAGGTTTCGCACTCGTTTCTCCCAGGTTCTCACATCCCAGGCTCCTGCTCATTTATAACCCTCTGCTTTTCCCTGGGCTGTCCACTCTACAGTGATTTGTTTGCATGTTTCTTTTTGGGTGCCTTATTTCTCACTCTCCTTCTCTCTCCAATTCTGCCTTCTTCATAGAATCATAGATCCTTACAGTTGGAAGGGACGTTAAAGATCACCTGTTCCAACCCCCCTCCCATAGGCAGGGACACTTCCCACTGGACCACATTTCTCAAAGCCCTGTCCAAGCTGGTCTTGAACACCTCCAGGGATGGGGCATCCACAACTTCTCTGGGCAACCACCCTCATAGTGAAAAATTTCTTCCTGATATCTAATCTAAACCCACCCTCTTTCAGTTCAGAGCCATTACCCCTCGTTCCCATCACTACATGCCCTTGTAAAACGTCCCTCTCCAGCTTTCTTGTAGGTACCCTTAGGTACTGGAAAGCTGCTACAAGGTCTCACCGGACCCTTCCCTTCTCCAGGATGAACAACCTCAACCCTAACAATTTCTTGGCCCTCCTCTGGATACACTGCAACAGGTCCATGTCCTTATGTTGGGGGCCCCAGAGATGGAGGCAGTACTCCAGGTGGGGTGTCACCAGAGCAGAGCAGAGGGGTAGAATCACCTCCCTCAACCTGCTGGCCACACTTCTCTTGCTGTTGGCTTTCTGGGCTGTGAGCGCAGCCTTCTTGCCTTAGCCTTTCTTTCCCTAATTTATCTACAATTAATTTTCTTGTTTTCTCTTTGAGGCTTAACCCAACACTCTTGTATTTCCACCCAGTAATTGTCTTATCCAGTTCTGCATCTAGGCAAGCAAACTTTTTCGTTCAGCACAGAAAAAAACCCCTCGCTCTTGCCTACAGAAACAAAAAAAGGCAAGGAAATAGGAACACTGGGTGGAAACCACAGAAAGAAAGGAAGTGGCAACAAAAGGGTTTGTGCCAGGAGCATATTGGTACCCTGGAAGAAATGAGGCAGACAGGATCATAGAGGCAAGAATCACTGGCAAAGGCACACAGTCTTACTGCCTGGAATGGGGTGGGAAGGGAGCACTGGGCATCATGAAGGATTGCTGGCAGAAAAGACTCAGGGAAGGGTTTAAAGGGGTATGTCAGGGACAGCCAAATTCAAGGAGACAAGAGCCTTGAGCTACCAAGTATCTCACTGTGTGCTGAGAGCTGCAGTGCAGGAGAACAGTCTTGTGCCCCGTGCCAGGACAGAGCCAGCTGCATCCATCAGTGCTACTTCAGTGAGGAAACCTGCCCGTCTCAGAGCAGCTCCGAAGCAAAAGCAGGGAATGGATGGATTTGGGACAGCTCCAGGAGCTTCATTTGAACCAGTTAAGTAGACACAAACAGTCTTACAAATATTAAAAGGTTTTCCCCCAAGACCCAACAGACTGGCTTGGAACGAGAGATCAATTAGCTGTTTTACAAAACTCTTGTTCAGCCATCCAGATACAACCAGCTCTGCCACCACTGTCATTTCTTCAGGAATATAACACCGTCTCCTTTCTTTCGGTGGAGGAGGCGATGCTAAGAGAAAGGAGAAGTGAGAGGATTTTATGCTTCTACCTGTCCCATGAAATCCGTGAAGAAGAGCATGTTGGACAGGAAAGCCATCCATCCAAAAAGGTGGCTCACACACAGATACCGATAGTGGGATGGCATGCTTAGAAGTGTCTTCAAGAGTGATTTAAGGGTCATCCGCCTTTGATCCTAAAAAGAAGTATTTAACAATAATACTGTATTATTGCCCTGCAAGCTAATACAATAGCTGACAGCAAGTGAAGAAGGTCTCGGCATCTTTTCATTGCTAAACTTCCAAAGTTTTTAATTTGTTTTTGCTAGGAAGCGTTGCTTGGTTACTGAATGCCCTTCACAATATATTTCTTTTGTACAGCCACTGCCTAATAAAGTCATCTGAAAGATTCACAGAGGCTCTGTGAGAGCTGGGGTTCATCAGCCAGGATGTAACATTTCTTGCTGTTATAATCAGTAGGGTTATTATTTACTCGTAGAACCAAGTGAAAATTTTCTGCCAAAACAGACTCAGTGGGGCTTCAAAAAAACCAAAAAACAGAAACAAAAATAATTTCTTTATAGAGACAATTAGTTTTCCATTGAAAATTTAAAGGTGCCATGGAAAAAAATGAAACTCAAAATACTTCCTGTGAATTAAAACGCACTAGTTGCAGAATACAGCACTTCTGAGACCTCATTCCCATTCCCTTCTATCTGCTAAATTACCTAGAAAACTTCACCTCTTGTGTCATATCATTACCATGAGATTTCCACTATGCACTGTCCTCCTTTCAATGAAGCAGGGAGAGACTGCGGTGCATCACAGCAGATGCAGCACCACTTGAAATGCTAGCACCCAGAGAGCCTGAGCTCCAGCACCTGAACACCTCATACCATGGGAGAAATAACTCATTTCAAAATCAAAATGTATTTGGTGTTGGTTAACAAATCTCACTGATGGGGAAAACTAAAATTTGTCACCACTTTCAATGCCCCACCTTATGTCCTTCCTCCTTGTCTGAGCCCTGGGCCCCAAAACTCTCTCTCAGCTTATTTTCAAGTCACATTCATCAGATCACTTGTGTCGCTTGAATTCAGTGCTTAATGTGAGGCATTTGTGACACACAATCCTTAACTGCTTTAAAGCTCCTGCACGGTTCTTTGCTTTTAAGGAAAAAAAGATGTTATTTTATCAGAGCATGACAGAACACTTCCAATTTTCTCTAGTGATGTTTGGAGGCAACAGCGTTGGGAGAGACAGTAAGGTAAGCGATATACTCATGAAATGTGAAAGAACTGTAGAAGTTATGTTCATTACTGGGAAGCTGAATTTTGATTTCAATTTACTGTAAGGTAATGACATTTTTTGCCCTCCTTCAATGTTCTATTTACTTTTCACAATTCTGCTTTCCTTTGAACTAGGTTATGCTGCAAGCTACTCTATGAATAATCACCACATATAAAGTCGGAAAATACTTTGCTCCAGTGGGAGGTTTTTAATCCTCATAGGAATGCCAAAATTCAAGTTGCTGACTTTCACCTTGAACTGCATATTGCCCAAATCCCTTGGAATTTCTCTTGGCATCACTGTCTCTTTTAAACAGGATAAGCTTTCTATTTTTCTACAGTTATAAAAAAAACCAAACCAAACCAAAACCCAAAAAAACCAAATAAACAAAAAAAATCCACAATGTCTCATTAGTGTTATTTCAAGGATAATTACTATCTTTTGACTTGGTTTATTTAATTTTTTCAACTCTTCCACATAGTTCTTTAAAACAGCTTTTCCAATCAAAGTGTTAAGATAAGGTCAGGGAACTACAAAGAAGACTGCTGTAATTACAAAGAATAATTTGATAGCTGGATAGAAATGCTTGCTTTCTATTTAGATATTTTTGAGTGGAAACGGAAACTGAAATGCTTAATGCACACGTTCAATACACGCCAACACACAAACCCCACACTAATTTAAACAACGTGCTGAACTTTGGCTCCATTTAAGTCCTTTATCCTTCAAAAGCTCACAATACCTAATCTTTTCTTAATAAAATCACTAAGACTCAAGGCCTCAGATGATTCATAAGGATACAGAGTAATCAATATAACTTGGGTAATTTGGCACCACACTAAAGAACCAAAGATGAATCACTTTGGATGTCTGTTCATACTGTAACAGGTCAAATCTCATTAATAATCACGGCAGCTATTAGCATGTAAGAGCACAATTTGTAATTTAGAGGATATAGGGCCATGAAGCCTGCAGCAAAAAAAGAGACACAGAAAAGCAGGAAGCCAAACCATTTCTTCAAGGAAGCAATTACAGTAATGAATGAACTTAGAAAAGATGTGCCACAAGAGACAGACCATTAAGGCAGTGAGTGTCTAGAATTTATAGATGCCCGGGCACATCAAAGAAACATGAGACAGATCAAAGCACTATGAGCCTCTGATGGGCTGTCCAGCCAGGAATCCGGAGAGGACAACGGCAGAGGCTTGCCCACAGCGGACACCAGAGCTTCACCTCGGGTGCCAGACGGTCCTGACTCAATGGCATTAATTCCTGCCGAGGTAGAGGCAACCCCAATTGCCAGTCTGCTCCTCTGGCTTTCACTGCATCTGCTCTTTCTTCTTCATTAACCTTCCTTTATCTAGAGCCCATATGGGTTGAGGAGTCAATGAGACTCAGCATCTCTGACAATCTGGAGGACAGTCAGGGTGAACAGGGCTGGTGAGGGATGCTGGCTGCTTAGGTGGGGAATTGCAGGGACAGCATCACAGTGTACTACCCATATTTTCCCCAACAAACTGTCTCTTTGCTGTCTGCCCCTCTGTTTGTCAGGCATCCACATCAGGCAGTGTTCATCTTTTATTCTACTTTTGTATTCTATCTGGTGTAATAATATATCCTTTGGGTTAGAAATACCAAAGGCTATTACAATACAAATGATAAATAGTAAAAGATGGTTATGTGTAGCTTGAATATGAGTTTAGGTTTCTAACTTATAACAATCTGCACATTCTCAGTATTTTTCACCTGATGCATCAAGACTTGTATCGGGGATAGGTAGTTATAACACCAAGAGTTCAGCAGTGAAATTAAAACAAGCAACTCTTTCATCACTTATTGTTATACCAGGAGGCAAACATATACATCAGCCTTTGCTTACCTAGGGCACCATGAGAGTGCAGTGAGGATTTCTAGCACTAAAAGACACCAACAAAACAGTAAAAACTATTATCTGTTCCCAGGACCATTCTAGAAATGGGATCTCCAGGTATTTTTCAGGTAGATTTTCACCCTTTCCTAGTTTGAAGATATGACCTCTCATAAAAATGCAGCAGAAACAAAATAACAGTGATGATTTGAAAGTAGTTGCTACTCTTTCCTGCCTAAAAGTTCTGCCAAAGACACAGCTACAAAGTCACTTCAAAATAAAAATACAACTCCAGAGGGAAGGAAGCATTGCTGTAGAGGTAGCAATTTTAGACATATCAGTACTGGCAATAAATCCTCAATGACATTCCAAGCAGCAGCAAACCCAAATGTTTACTAGAGCAGGGAACAAACATTTCATATGTACTAGGTATGAAAGCGTGTGAACTTCAGTGGGAGTTACAGATCTGTATCAAAGATTAATGGTCTGCAGTCCTTGTCCACAATTTCATGCTAATTCCATCAGGATGAAAGGAGCAAGTAGATCCTCCTGTCAAAATTCAGTTGAGGAGGATATCAAAAGACTGACACAGAGCAAAAAAGCTGAACCTAGCTCTCCCTCACCCCTGCCAATTGTTCCAAGCATCAGGACTAGTCTCTCTTGTCCCTCCTGCTGGAAATACTTCATTAAAAAAAAAAAAAAACAAAAACGATAAAAGAAGGCAGGCTTTCTCCTGATTCTGTATCCTGGTGGAGGATTCTTCTTCTGTGCATGAAAGGGCTCCATTCCAAGTAGTCAACACTTTCCAATTAAAAGGTCTCCAAGGAGGCAACGATAGGGCCTACAAAATCCTGTCTGCACTTACCTCTGTACGTGACATAGCAGCACATTTCCCTGGTTTCACTGCAGCCTTCATTTCAGTACTTGTTGATTTTACGCAACCATTCTTGAGTTCCTCCTCTATGGATCTATATTTATAGGTTCGAGTCACTTCCAACAAGAACTTTTCCTCTTCATTTTCATATCTGAGTGGGACTTCAGGAATACTGTGCAGATGTATGGTAAGGCAGATTAGGAAAACCAAGGCTGCGAACAAGAAAATCACCTGGAATTCTGATGCCAAGGAATATCCTAGTACAGTTTCACCCCAATCCATAGCACCTGTCAGGTAACCAAGGGCTCCTCCCAAACCTACAGGGGTGGGGAAAAAGGAGAAAAAAGATCTACTGGCATCAATGAAATAAACAATCAATATACAATACCCTCAACATCCCCTCTAGAAATGACTGAATAATCACTCTTCATATATTAGCCACAAGAGGTAGGAATATTGAGCTAATCACATACATGAGCAGTTACCAAAACAACTCTTGAAAAATCTCCTCAGCTCTGGCAGACAGAGCCCTCAAAAAATGCCCGAACATATAGCAATGTGGGTCTCCACCTCTTTTCTTGACTCTTTGAAGCTTTATTTTATTTGAAAAAGTTTTATTTATACAAAATAAAATTTTACTGTAAGTTATGGGTTTTTTAAACTTCACAGAACAAATGAACATTTTAAAAATTATACCGAGACTATCTATAGTTTAGACTTGCTAAAATGTATTTTATATAGCTGAATCTAAACAGAAATACTGTCTTCATGTGAAATTTTTTTTAAAAAGGAAATAAAACCAAAAGCATTGTTTTGCAGTTACCAAAATCCAAGTGCCTCACTACTGGGAAAAGAAAATAAAAAGGATCAAATACAAAAGTGTAATTCCTGATTTTCTCAGAAAAGCTAGAATAAAAGGTAAAATGAGAACACACTTGTGTCTTGAAGTTAATAAAACCAGGTTTCAGTCTGATTTTTAAAAAATTTCTTCTTTTTGTTATTAGTGCACACAGTTTCACAAGCACAAGGAAGTGCACAGTGTTATGTACAGCACAGAGCTCTGGTAGGGGAAGCAGCTTTGTAGAGACCTGGCGCCTCGTTAACCAGGTGCCTGTGCAGGACGGGGGAGTTAAGCTGGGCAGAAGCATTTGAAGTACTTAAAAGTATATCTCCTCTTCTGCTTAGGGGAACTGAAGACAAGCTGTGGCATAACCATTCCGTCTTACAAAAAGTAACAGAGGTAGCAGGACATCCATTTGCTTCACCTACATAACACTGGGTTTTGATTTCGTTCTGGGCTTTCTATACCTTTTTCCCCTCTTCGGTCTGCTTATGGCCATCCTTCATTGTGTCCTACTGTGTTTTACAGGGACTGTATTCCTGCTGGTTCTCATGAAAAACAATTAAACTGCTAATAGCTTTTTGAAGAAAACCTACACCAAATGTTTGCATAGACTGAATGTTTGATGTTTGAGGTCATCTTTGCCCACAGTTTTGGCAAAAGGAAATCCTGCTATTGGAATGCAGTCTGAGTGCTGCCTGTTGGATACATGCACTCTTCCTTCCACTTGTCTCAGTGGTCATAAGTTTCACAACTGCAAAGCTATCGAGTTTCATTTCAGATCTTAACTGATGTTTTCCTGGAGTGTAATATCTTGGAGATATTTAGTATAAGAAGAAGGAACTAAATGGGGGAAACAAAGTAATATCTAAAACATAAACTAAAAACTAAATTGGAAGATTGTTGTCTGTGTCTAATAGGGCTAGAACAAGGAATGATAAATGTAAATTGTAGTGAATGCATATTAAGATCAGCTTTTTGGAAAAACTGTCTAACAACAAGGCCAGTGAAGTGCTGGAACAGACTGCGGAACCTCTATCAAGGGAGGATTTCACAAACAGCCTTGGTTAATTACCTGTCAAGAAGGGTTAAGATATCAATGGTCTTGCTACAGATAGCACAGGAATCTGGTCCAAATAACGCAATTTGTTCTAGTCTTATTTGATGTGATCTGTCCCACATCCCTTTGCACACCTCAGTGCACAAATGAATCAGCTGAATCTATAGCTTCACATTTGGAAATCAAGCTTTTTTAGTCTCATCCAAGGAAAAATTGCAACCAGAGTTTTGCTGAAGGCAAAAATATAGAATCATAGAATGGTTTGGGTTGGAAGGGACCTTAAAGATCACCTAGTTCCAAACTGCCATGGGCAGGGACACCTACCACTACAGCAGATTGCTCAAAGCCTCACCCAGCCTGGGCTTGAAAACCTCCAGGGATGGGGCATCCCCAAGTTCTCTGGGCAACCTGTTTCAGTGCCTCACCACCCTCACAGTAAAGAATTTCTTCCTGATATACATAGGGACTCACTCCCCTCTCTGTCCAGACAAGTGATTGGTAAAACTGTTATCTGTCAGTTTCTAATGGATAGTACTGTTTTCATTCCCATGTGGCTTTCAGGTTTCTTTATAATCTGTGTTCCTGGACACAGCTATTTCACGTGTCCAGAATTGGCCTGTTGTCAGTAGCTAATACACCTCTCTCCTCGACTACAGCCACTGCCACTGAATCTGCATGCCCCTGCTCTTGGTGCGGCTCAGTAGCCACAAAAATTTGCACCAACACAGAGTGCATGACTTCTCATCTAATCTGCTTTTTGTCTAGTCCTTTCACAGCAACTGCTCCCAGACACAGCTGCGAGCTCCTCTCGATTCACATACTCAGCCTTACGTGTCTCTCCTGTGCATTTTCTCAACACCAGGCTCTCATGCTACAGAAGGTTCCCTTCTGCAACTCAGCACCATTTCAAACAAATATGAAGGTAAACGAAGGTCTTCCTTGATTTACAAGAGACTGGACTGAACCACTTGGATTTATTTTGTGGAAGTTGTGAAGGTCTGATTTTTACAAAGAATTCCAATTTCCGTACAGGAAGGCAGCACATACTGGAATGTTGCTGAAGGGTGGAAATCAATTATACTGGTTTGTGAACTCTTGCTCTATGTCACATGCTGAGTCTAAAATGTTACTTTAATGTGCTATGGCAAGGGAAGAGGTTACATCCCTTAATTATTGCTTCACCAAAAACTTGAAAAAACCAGAACAAGCTGAATAAATACTACTTCACTTTTTAATTAATTAATTGCTCTTACTTAAATCATGGCTATGTTGCTGTAAATGTTTATGCCTGCAGCTTTCTGCGACAGAGTTCTTGCAGCAGCAATCACAAGTTTCTGTTCTCTGGAGTAGTGAAAACCCAGCAACAAAAGACTCGTGACTGAAGCGCGAGATCAGATGATCAGTTCATTCAAGATTAGAAACACAGTAAGAGTAAAATCCATGCAATTACCTTCCCCTCCGTCGAGAGGCAGGGAGGAAAGGAAGGGATCTGAGTACCTGTAAGGAGGGCGTGGTAATGCAGACCCTTCTCTTTATCCTGATGGGAGCAGACATCAAATAAATATGCTTTGATGGGGCCATCAATAAAATCAGCTGCAAAATCAAAAAGCACTACTCCCAGCATGGTAATGACTATTGCCCACGTCCGCCGTTTGTCTCTCTCATCGATGAAAGCTACAAAAAGAAAAACACCCTCATTCTGACAGCAACAGTGCCATGTTCCGCAAAAACACATTTTGTCTTTCCTTGTACCTCCAAATCTGAACAGCGCTCCGTTACGCAAGAGCGAGCAGTGATAGCAGAATCACATGAGAGAAGCAGAGCAACCGAGTCTGTGTAGGGCTGAGCTGTGCTAGGCTGATTTACAGCCTCGGGACAGCACAAGCTCAGGGTACTCCAAGCTCCACAATCAAGAGCATCACTAGCCTTAATCTACTCCTTTGCACCTCCACGGCGTGCCATGGTGGCCTAACACACATGCATTTTGTAGCACTTTTTCAGTTTATGCTATTTGTCCCACCTTTCTGCTGCTTTATATGACCAAGAATTGACTGTAACATCTCTTTTAAGGCAAATGAATACCGGTATATTCAATACCAATGACGTGCAGGAAGAGGGAATAAATCAATCCACGAAAACACACACCTCCCCCTCTGCCAAGTCACAGCGGCAGCAACGACTTTCAATCAAGAGTTTGAGAAGTTACACCTCAAGCTGGAATATAACCGTATCTAGGGATGTCACTCCTATTTGATTTTGCATGTTCCAGGTGCAACACCAGTTTCCAAGGAGTTACAAATCTCTATTATTCACCAGCATAACACAGTCCTGAGTCAAGCCAGGGCTGCAATAACTAACTATATAAATTTTGAATGGTAATCCATCTAAAACAGGGATTAACAGATATTCGGTTTGCACCTGTATTACATCCCACAAAAAATATTGATAATTTAACTTAAGAAGGTCGACTTCAGTTTGCAAAAACTCCTCTGGGCCTAAGCAGTGCGAACTGATCAGGCAACCACACCAACCTACAACACCCTGTAATCACATGCAGCAACGACAGGACACTACGTACAGGCTACACCACATGCAGCGCCAGGTGTATGGTATATGAACATACATTGGTATATATTTCATTGGTATATATTGGTATATGTATTCATATTATGGTATATGAACATACAGGTATAAGGTATATGAACATTTCAGTGTTCCCCAGTGCCAAGCAGCATCATACCCAACGTTAACAGTGCATTTAAGCAGGGAAAAAAGGACAACCCCCCCCCTTTTTCTTTCTGATTCAAAAGGCCAGGATGTGTTTTGTCTGTCAGCGCAGCGCATGCCCCTCACTCACCTGAGATCATCACGTCCCCATTGAGGTACAAAGCCATGCCTAACAGCATTATGATGCCCAGACCCAGAATGTAAGGTCTCCTCCTGCCCCAGCTACAGGTGCAGTGATCACTGGCTGAACCTACCACGGGCTGCAGCACGAAGCCCAGGATAGGGCTGATGAGCCACACCAGACTGTAGAGGTTCTTGGGCAGCCCTACACTCAGCAGCACCGGCGTGACAAAGGCGGCCTCCACGGCATAGCAGAACTCCCGGCCAAACATGGCCATGCTGTGCATGACCAGCCTCCCCACCGCTCGCTGCTTCGGCACCACCGCTCCAGTCCTCGTCACGGATTGCAGCAGGTCGTCCTCGTCCTCTCTGATGCTCTCCACGATCGCCATGGTCATCTCAGAAGGGGGTGGAAGAGACCCCTGGAAACTCTCTTTCCTTAAGGTCATGGCTCCGGCTTACGCGCGGTGCTCCGGCAAGTTGGTGCTGCCTGCTCCGGCTGACATGGAGCTCGGATCATATGCCGGGTGGGATCGGTCTGTGCTGGGGGAGGGACTCACATACTTTCATGGCTCTGCGATCACAAGTTATGAAAGGAAGGGGGCGGGGAAGCATGTTAACATTAGCAGATCTGAGCTCTTGGGCGTCTGCAGAGCTCTCAACCATCCCCAACTAAAGAACCACTGTTTAAGTGCGAAACACACATATAACGGGCACGTACATCACATGGGCGAGGAGCAGGGTTGCTGTAAGACAGCAGAGATACCAAGGGACTAGAGTCCTCATCTTTCTGTTCAGCAAGCAACGGGAGCACCAGAGTGCCGATTCCCCGTTGTTTGAATGGGGGGAAAGGAATCTGTAACATATATCCAGAAAAGGATTTCAATGCACTTCATGGACGTAAGTAAGAAAACCTACCTATTGCCCTAGAGCGTTAGTGGCAGATAAAAAGCTTGACAAAAGTCTTTCAAACAGCAACTGCCGAGTATTTTTTGTATCATCTGCTGTGTGCTACCCTCAATGCGACTGATTATTTTCTTGGTTTCTGAAAAGCAAAGGGTATCAGGATAACTTAGTTGTGGTTTTTTGAAACAGTCTTACCCACCAAGAGAGGGTCTTAAAAGAAATCTGTAGTGACATACTAAAACTGTAGCTTTCAGGGTAGCCACCTGAGTGAGGCAGCTGATCCAACCTATGCTGCATCATAGCATCATAGAATAGTTTGGGTTGGAATGGAGCTTTTAAGGTCATCTACTCCAACCTCCTGCAGTGAGCAGGGACATCTTCAACTAGATCAGGTTACTTGGAGTCCCAGACAAGCTGACCTTGAATGTTTCCAGGGATGGGGGACCTACCACCTCTCTAGGCAACCTGGGCCAGCATTTCACCACCCTCATCATAAAAAATGTCTTCCTTATATCTAGTTTGAACCTACCCTCTTTTGGTTTAAAGCCATTACCCCTTGTCCTGTTGCAGCAGGTCCAATTAAAAACTCTGTCCCCATCTTTCCTGGAACCCCCCTTTAAGGCAACAGTAAGATCTCCCCCAGAGCCTTCTCTCTCCAGGCTGAATGACCAAGTCCTTCTCATCAGGGCTGCTCTCAAACTCTTCATCCTCCAGCCTGTATTGATTCTGGAGGTTGTCCAAGTGTAGGACCCTTGTTGAACCTCATGGAACGCTGGAGGGAAGGGATGCCATGCAGAGGGACATTAGCAGGCTTGAGAGCTGGGCCCATGAAAACCTCATGAAGTTCAACCAGGCCAGGTGCATGGCCCTGCACCTGGGTCACAGCCATCCCAGGCACCAACACAGGTTGGACGGAGAACTGATTAAGAGCAGCCCCGAGGAGAAGGACTTGGGGGTGTTGGTGGACAAGAAGCTCAACCCAAGACAGCAATGTGCGCCAGTGGCCCAGAGAGCCAACTGCATCCTGGGCTGCATCAAAAGAAGCATGGCCAGCAGGTCAAGAGAGGTGATTTTCCCCCTCTACTCTGCTCTGGTAAGACCCCACTTGGAGTACTGCATCCAGCTCTGGAGTCCTCAGCACAGGAAAGACAGGGACCTGTTGAACCAGGTCCAGAGGAGGGCCATGAAGATGATCAGAGGGCTGGAGCACCTCTGCTCTGAGGACAGGCTGAGAGAGTTGGGATGTTCAGCCTGGAGAAGAGAAGGCTCCGGGGAGACCTCCTTACAGCAGCCTTCCAGTATCTGTAGAGAGCCTACAGGAGAGATGGGGAGGGCCTCTTTATCAGGGAGTGTAGCCATAGGAAAAGGGGTGATGGTTTTAAACTGAAAGAGGGGAGATATACATGAGATATTAAGAATAAATTATTTCCTGTGAGGGTGGTGAGACACTGGCACGGGTCACCCAGAGAAGCTGTGGATGCTCCATCTCTGGAAGTGTTCAGCACCAGGCTGGATGGGGCTTTGAGCAACCTGGTCTGGTGGAAGGTGTCCCTGCCCATGGCAGGGGGGCTGCAACAAGATGGTCTTTAAGGTCCCTTCCAACCTGAACCATTCTAGGATTCTATGAGGTTCCCATGAGCCCACTGTTTGAGCTTGTCCATGTCCCTCTGGATGCCATCCCATCCCTCAGGTGTGTCAACCACAGCACTCAGCTTGGTGTCGTCTGCCAACCTGCTGAGGGTGCACTCGATCCCACTGCCTGTGTCATTGATGAATATTTTGAACAGTGATGGTCCCGATACGGTCCCGTAAGGTTAACCCCTGGAGTTAACATGAGTTTTTAAATTGACTTCAGCTATTTTTGGGTCAAAACTTAGGTGCACTGGAGATTACATATGACAATGTTTATTTTTCTCCAACAGTATCAGATGCATTTGGGACTAAGCAAATTGTGAAATTTTACTGTACAGGTGTATAATATTCAGTAATTTACTTATCAGCTGGCAACTTAAGATGCTTCTGCTTATTGTTTATCTAATTTGTCAGAACCTACTAGATAACTTTTGCTTCCAGGCAGGTCTCTATGTAGTAGAATGTAGAAGTTGGTTTTTTTATAGCAATAATGCTGACCTTTTGGTGTGACACAAGCAAAATGAGCTAAAGTATGGCTCAGCCTTGGAAACCTTTGTAAGCAACAAACTAATCTTCAGCAAGGTAAACACTGACAAAACTATCGAAAACCCCAAGCCCTCATAGCATAATTCCTGACGTGCTGGACTAAAGAAAACTGTACTAAGGCCATATAACTTTTTAAAAGGAATTTTTTTTTTTGCCTTGAAGGAGACTGTTTCAAATGACAGTTTAATTTTGAAGGAAATGAAAAACATCATGGAATAACCACTGCTTTAAAACCTGTGCAGCTAAGTTGCCTAGCATTTTTTCCAAAAGAGAGTAAAGGATTACTGGTTGGCAGCTTTTTTAAAATAACAAATTTTGTTCTGAAGTAATTTTCTAGGCAAACTGAAATTTTAAATGTAATGTAATCAGGAAGCTGCATTAGGAAAATGTAGCCAAGCTATTAAATAGAATTACTTTATGATAATAACTCTACAGCAGCACATAAGAAAATGGCATAATATTTTGATCACTGCTTTGGCATGATAAGGCAAATGAATTAATATGATAAGATAGAGAAAAAAAATCCCTTCTAATCTGTGAGTAAACAACACAATCACTTGTTTAGGAAGAATATAACTATATTTTATGAAAAGTATTGCCTTCATGTAATTATAACATATATTATAAAGCAACAATTTAACTAAGAATTAAGGGAAACAAACATTTCCCAGGACACAATATTTAAAGAAACATTTTGAGGATTTACAGCTGCTTACCAAGCAAACTGTGTAGATCTCCAGAACACAATTTTGATATCACTCCAGACTGCAGACTATCCAGGTACACAAGTATGTAGTTCCCACTGTTTTCAAGTAAATTTAATACTTAAATAATTTTTTAAAAAAATATTTAAAAGCTATATCATGCAAACATTTGTCATATAATTAAATTTTAATGCATAAAAATGTACTGTATCAGCCTGAAATTTGTCTTATCTGCACAGTGAAGAGATTATAAATTAGCTTTTGGTTTATTGATTTCTATTATTTTATCAGAATAAAGTTTAGCAATCTCTTCCTTAGTAAATCCGTACTCTAGAAGTATCTCTTCCGTGTGTTCTCCTATAAAAGGATCTCTTTGAAGCGATGGAACAGCAGGGGTCCTTGATAGAAGAGGAGCAGGTCTAGGACTTATCTCTTCCTCATCATTTTTGATAAAAGAACTTCTTTGTTTGTTATGCTGATGTGAAGCAGCATCATCAAAGGATAAAACAGGGGTGACACAGGCATCGGTACCATCAAATATGCTGCACCACTCAGCTTGTGTCTTCTGTGCAAATACAGATGCAAATTTTTTCTTCATTTTGGGCCAGTCGGAGTAACTGAGCTGACTGGGAAGTTCATCTGAATCTAGTCCAAGACCTGAAAGGTGAAAAGCAAAGTTTAACTGTAGTATAGCTCAGATAAAGTGCTGCCCACAACTAAGTACGTTTCTCAAGAGGAACACTCATTGGTATAAACACTTCACAAGAGCAGCCACTTCCTAGAGATAACATTTTGTCCTGAGGACATTTTCTATAATGGAATTGCATTCTCTACCTGGCAGGAGCAATGTAGAAGTCTGCTGAATGGGTCTTGGACTACAGCAACGTACTTTTCTCACAGAAGCCAGTACATCCACCAGAGCTGGGCATTCAGCAGGCTGCAGCGTGTCCAACAGCATTGGGCTACTATGTGCCAGAGATGAGAAGATGGTGTGGATGGATATACATGGCTCGATCTACATGAAGTACCTCAGCTGCAGGTGCTTGCAGGCCAACTGACGTGCTTCTCGACTCCTTCCTCAGTCCAAACGGACCCCAGCAATGTTTCCTGCTCTCCCCTTCTCAGCCCACTTCCCAGGCTCCCACTGCCCACTGCTGCTCGTTTGGAAATGCGAAACCCACAGCCCTTACAGTCACCACCTGCTTAAGAGCTCTGCTTCCCAGAAGATCAGTCGCATGGACCACCCAGGCATGCAATATGCACATTCTTTCTGAGGCACAAGATGGACACACAGGCTTTGCACTGACAATTTCCTGAAGTAGACAAGTCCTAGGTAGGAGTTTACATCTCTCCTGTGCAGCCAGGTTCCCATCTCTGCTTCTGTCCTTATGAATTCTGCTCTCTGCACCCCCTACCCTTCCATTCTCCTACTTCAAGAAGACCTAAGAATTGCTATCACTTCTTGTAGGATTTATCTCAAAAAGGAAGTAAGAAACAAGAAAGAGAAAAGGCAATTAAACCATACTTTCGAACTGGAGATACTACAGAGGTACAGAGACTATGATATCAAATAGAAATCAGAAGCGGTACATAGAACTCTATCCAATCAGTCACATCTTCAAAATCAGAAGCATGAATATAGCAGGAAAAATTCAGAAAAA